CTCTTATTCAATGAATTTGAATAAGGGAGTAAAAATGAGTCCAAAAATTATTTTGTGTGTCAAACGATGTACACGAAAAATATTTGAATAAAATATTTTTGCTTACCAAAAATATTTTATAATATTAAAATAAATATTAGATAAATGTTTGACACACTTTTTGTAACTGACTCAATAAAATTATTTTGAACAGTTAAAAAGATTTTTCAACCGACTCAAAAACTAAATATAATTTTTATTTTAACTCTCATAAAAACAATTTTGAAGAGAAGATATTTTTGTCATCCTTACAAAAATTCCTACGACTCAAATAAATAAAAGTCTTCGGAAATCTTCTACTCCTCCGAGTCCTCCGTTAGGCGCTCCGAATGCGTCTCGGACTTCAATAAAATCCTGTGCACCTTCTTGAATACTTCAAGGAATGGCACTTCAAGTCTTCATGTTTGTCGTTGTAGCATTTTGATCTTGACTTGAATAAATTGTGTTTGTCAATTATCAAAACCTGTGAGTCAACACTTAACAACACAGAAAGGGTTGAACTCATGCATTCCAACATCCAAAAGCATACAAACACCATGGGGGTTTGAACTCAAGATCTCTTAGACATTTAGTTAAATTTTTAACCATTCAAGCTAATGTGTTTTTTGTTATAATTCAATTAATCTTTTATAATATTTCATAATTAAAAAAAAATTGTGTAAAGATTTATTAACAATGACTTGAAAAATGTATTTATATATGATGATTATACAATAACATTATGTATCAAATTTATAACGTAACACCTCAAACGTAGACAAAGATGATTTTTTTGTATTGAAAATTAATTGTTTTACACATATCTTTGGGAGATTATTTCATTGAGTAATTTTAACATATTCTTTTTTTCCAACATTTTCTATCTCCTTCCAACTTGTTCTAATTTCTTCCAACATTCAACTTTAGAATCCAACCAAAATGAATAGAGCCAAATCAGCAATCTAGGAAGGCTGGGGAGGTACAGGGGCTGGGGTTGGGGAGGTTTGGAGAGATTAAGAGGTAAGGACTATTAATTTTACGAACGGAATATCATAAATATTCCAAAACTACTGGAGTCACACACCGGTGTCATTTTTGTTGGGGTAACATTACAAGTTTCCATAGTTAGAACTTGTGAGAAGGCTAAGAAACCATCCCCATTCCACGTTATAATATATTGTTGGGATCATGATTCTTTTGACATCTCCATTCCACGTTATAACATGACACCTGACTTTTATAATGTTCCATTGGGAATCCTACCCTCACCCTATATCACTAGGGGCGGATCCACCTTTAGGGAGCAGGGGTCAAATGCCCCACCTAATTAGAGTATCTCCAACCATGTTTACTATATTGACTTGTTATTTTTATATTTTAGTAAGTAAATAGTGATATAGCAAGTAACTTCTTGTTTCATTTTCCAATCATGAGTTGCTAATCCATTTTACAACTCTTAGCTTGTTATATTTTGGAGAACTTGTTATATTTAGCAAGTCAAACTCATTCTTTAGCAAGCTTGCTATAATATAACACAATCATTGGAGATGAGAAAAATTTGTTTGCTATATCATAGCCTTTAGCAAGCCAAAATGGAATGATTGGAGATGCTCTAATAAGGTAAAAAAGAATAATAAATTAAAAATTTATGCATAGATGTCCACAACAAAAATTAATGTGCCCCCATATAATCATGTCAAATTTAAATTTTTTGTTTAATATTTTAATAAAATGTATTTTATTGCATATAATTATTTGTGTATAAAATAAAATTTCACATTAGCTATTAAAATGGTTTACATTTAATAAATGTATGAAGCAAAATTCATAATTTATTTATTTTTTGACATTTCAAATAGCCTATAAAAAATTCTGCTCTGGACCCCCGACTAATGGTGTCCCCATCTAACTGAACTTCTGAATCCGCCACTGTGTGCTATAATACCCATTACCCATAACATTGTGGGTAGGATTTTTTGGCAAAAATTCTAGGGAAGCTGGGGAGAGAAAGCATTTCGACAAAAATGCTAGTATGAGGGATTGGGAGAAGGCCATGCTAGAAGAGCAGGCCTCTTATTATGACAGCTAGGTAAGCACTATTATGACACGCTTATTTCTAACACGAGTCTGGGAAAGGCGTACAGAAACGTTTCCGATCCATAGCCAGTCAAATACTCCGTCCTAAATACTATCCCCGTTGCAGATTACTATCCAATACTGTATAATTTTCCCGAGCCAAACTTGACCAATTTTGATCATTATTTAAATAAAAATTGCAATGCATATAGTATAAAAATGACTCCATTCTTTATTTAAAAAATTCAAAAATTATTTTATTGTATTAATATACAATATAAATTTAATATAATTCAAAATTAATGTCCGCGGCTGAATTTGACTTTAAAAAGTAAAATGGGACAAAGGGAGTATCAACACGCCAACAACCGACCAAGTAAAATCCCATAGAAGTAAGGTCTAAGAAAGATGTGTGTACGCAGATTTTACCCCTACTTGAAAGTAGAGAGGTTGTTTTCAATAGGCCAATAACAAATACGGAGTACTATGTTTGGTTCAAAGAATTTAAAAGGAAAAAAAAGAAAATGGAAAGGAAAATAATTTTTCTTGTTCGGTTGATAGGAAGAAAAAAAGTTGAGGAAAAGAAAATGAGACCATTTTATGTTCTGGAAAATCAAATTCTTTACATTTTTGTGAGGAAAATGAGAGAAAATCATTTTCTTTTCTTTTCCTTCCAAATTCCTTAGAAACATAGTGCAATCTCCTTTCATACAGTAAAATAGAATGCAGCAAAAAAGAAAAGAAGAAAAGAATAAGCTTCCTTGAATATAAAAAGGAGCATGCATTGCATTGTCTAAGCTCACTTATGACACAAAAAAACTCAATAGGAGAAGCAGAGCAGCATCAATGGAGGAGACAACATTATTAAGCAATATGTAAAAAAAACAGTTTTTTTAAAAGAAAAAACAAAGAATTATCAGAAACATTGGAATGAGAGAGATCTACTAGTAGATTGAGTACTGCTCGGCAGCGGTCGCCGGATAAAGCTTCCGGTAGGCGGCAAGTGCAATTGGTAGTAGAGCAGAGAGTGCAATTGACAGATTATCCGAACTGCTCGTCCTGACCGAGACCTGACCGCTCATTTTGTTGTTTATACCCGCCCGAACAACAACCTTTGTGTTCCGACCAAGGGAGAACTGGGTCAAGGCATTGAGCCCCAAAGCCAAATCGCCTCTCCATTTAATAACTGATGTACTCAACGTGGACTGAACCTGCCCGATCGGGTAATCCGCTTCCCTTCTCTGCAGTTCAAAGTTGGCCCCGTAAGCCATTTCGTTCCGTGAACGGGTCGTGCCCATGGAACCCGCCAGGACGTATCGCTTGCCCAAAGTAATCTGGTCTTCAAATTTGATCCCGGTCACAACATTCTCCCCAATGAATGTGACCGATACCCCGCCCGCGGTCTTGTTCTTTTTCAGATTCTTGAACTTTGTTTCCCCGCGGACGACATAGGCGAGCTGTTTCCCGATGTTTTGGATGTCGAAACCCGCCATGGTGGAGCCCGTCTCTCCGTGCTTGGCAGAAATGGAAGAGTCCAAACTGACACTGAAATCTTTCTTGTCTTTTGAGATCTGGAAGGTTACAGCAGTGGGGAAACGGTCCGCGATTGCTTGGCTGTGTTCAATGTTGACACCTTCATAGCCACAATCATGGTCCCATCCGTGGGCGTCCAAAACCGGCCTTGCCAGAAACAGGGAGGTTGGCTCCAAAAACCGGTACCTGTATGTAGGGTTATCACCATCAAAGGACGGGGGAAGGACCATGTCGGGCAGTGGGACAGCGACAGGGGCAGCTGCCCCAGAATCAAAATCTTCATCAGGTTGAGCTTCAGCAGCACCATTCTTTCCTTTCTTCTTCATCTCTTTCATTCTCCTCAGCTCTTCTCTCCATTGCTTCTTCTGCAAGAGCTTCACCCGGTAGTCGTACTCCTCAAAGTAGGCCTTTTTCTGTTCTTTACTGAGTTTAGCCATTTGAGCTTTCCTGAGAGGCTTAAAGGGTGGAAGCCTGTCAAACTCTTCTTCCTCTTCTCCTCCCTCTTGATCAGAATCAGACAAAGCGTCCAAGTCAATCTCGGAGTCAACACTATCGCTGCCTAATTCAGTACTCAGCTTTGGGTGGGCCCGGGACTGCAACATCGAAGACAACATGTAAGGAAGAGGGGGCGTGCGGGCCCGGAAGCCGAGCAGCTTACGGGGGTCAAACAGGTCTTGCGCCGGCTTAGAAAGAGAATTCGCGACCGACAATATCTTCATCGAATAGCATAAGAGAAGCAACTGTGGCCTCCAGACCTGACCGTTGGGCAGTATCTTCTGCCCATCTCTGTTCCTTCTACAGGCCGGGTGGTTTTCGACCAGAGAAACCGGATTCATCATGCTCGGACTCATCATGTGTAAGTCACCCGTGGCATGCCCGATTGACTGCTGGACAATCCGTGATCTTTGGGTGACAAAAGCCTCATAACTCATGGGAGATCCAGAAGGTCCTTCTGGAGGAGCAGAAGCTGCATGTGTCAAAGTAACAATCGTGCTTCGCCAGATGGCAGAGCCCAGGGAGGCAGTGATGGTCCTGAGAAGTGGGAGATCATTAAGATCCCTTGTCTGCGCATCCAAACGGTCAACATAGAGGACGATGTCCACAGGATTCTTCTTCGCAAGCTTTTTAACATTTGACAGAACCTTGTTGTTGAAAGCCTGTTCCATGGCAGATGACTTGAGGGCAGGGGTATCAAAAACCCTGACCTTGACCCCATCCATAGTCACACATATTTCTTTCACATTAGTAGTCGTGGGCGAAAAGGCATCAATGGGGGTTTTCTCTTCCCCTAAAATGGAGTTTATGGTGGAGCTTTTCCCCACCCCACACTTTCCAAGAACAAGTATGTTCACAGAGAAGTCCAACTCGTCGCCATTTCCCCCCTCTGTTTCCAGCTGGAGGGCAGTTGACCTGGCCATGTCGATGCTGAAGAGTTGACTGTTTTGTTTTCCTGCAATTAGGGAAAGCCTATACAGAACCTGTGTCACTATGGATTCATCTGAAGAGAAGCCCAACCTCTTGACGAGTCTCAAGAACTTCACTCTGATCTGCTGCAGCTTTTCAAGCTTCATTTTTTCTTCTTCAGTCAAGTTTTCCTCGGGACCCGAAGAGTTTGGAACTGTGGGGGTGAAGAAATTGGAATGTGTGGGTCGGGGAGCAGTGGGCCCCAAGGACCGGAGTGATGACCCCAGGCCGGCAGGACGCTCTACCGAGAAGAGTCTAGAACCATCCTGAGAGGTGATGGTTATGTTCCCGCGGTCAGAACCATCCGTTGCGGCTTTCAGTAAAGCTGCTATAGCAGAAGAATCTAGCAACTGGTGATTTCCATCTCCTTCCTCATCAGTGTCTATCTCCTCCTCCTCCTCCTCTGACTCGGTCACAACTTGGCCATCCAGAGCAGAGGCCTCAACATCGCCGGATTCCCTTTCCAACTCCTCAATGAACTGTCTGGCTGCTTCAGAGCTGCCAAAAACCATACCATCCGACTCCTGATCTGAAACTGAGCCGTCTTCTAGTTCACCATCTCCACTCATCTGTTGATGATTGGCCTCCTCCTTGCATTCTGATGGAGTTTTCTCAGGGGAAACAGTTTTGTCTTCCATGTCGTTCTGAATAATAATAAGCCTGCCATTACTGTGTACAGCATCTGAAGATGCAATTTCATTGGCTGCTTTATCTGAGAGCTTCTCTGTTCCCACACATTTAAGGTCGTCTATATTGTGAACATCATCCTCAGAAGTGTCAAGGCTGATGATAGCAGATCTCGTCACGCTCTCTGGCACGTTAGTGCTGTGTTCCATGACTGGTTCAGACCCATCAATTTTGTTGACAGATTCTGTGCTCTCATTGTCATCAGGCGGGGTCCACTCCTTGTCTTTGTCAATGACAGCCACCCCTTTGCTTGAAGGATCTGTTTGTTTTATTTCATCTGTTCCATTAATTGATGGCACACCCTCGATCTCATGATTTCGCAGATCTTTGGCTTCTCCAATAACAACCATAGATGCCTCACCAATTGTCTCCTCTACCTTCTCTTTGTCTAGCCCTTCCCTGATAGGATTCACAACTTCATCTGTATTCTCACTACAAACCCCAGATCCCTCCAAGCCATCAGGTTGAGCCTCACTAGCATTTGCATTCAACCCATCAATTTCAGTTATGGGTAGAGCTGAATCTGGGCACCTGTTACCAGTAATATCACCATATTCTTCTTTTTCCTCCAATAACAAAGCCTCGTCTTTCTCAACAGCCTTCTCACCCTCCAAGACATCAACTTTATTGAGATTTTCATCATCATCATTCGCAAAACCCTCAGGATTGGGCATAGATTCTTTAGGAGAAGCCTCTAGAAAATCCTCGCTACCGAAACCTCCAACAGATTCATGCTCCTCTACATCTTGAACTTCTGCAGTGACACCATCCACTTTTTCACTATCCCCAAAGCCCGTCGTGCAACCAAGCTGGACCTCAGTGACACTTCCATTGGCAAGAGTAGACCCAGAGACACCAGATTCTTCTCCACCCCTACTTTCCACCTCCAACAAAGCCTCACTTTTCTCAACATCCTTCTCAACCTCCAAAACCTCTTTTTTATTCAGATTTTCGTCATCACCATTCACCAAAACATCAGAAACCCGGGAACCCTCAAAAGGACCCCTATTTTCCTCCCCCAACACAGCCTCACCTTCCTCAACACCCTTCTCAACATTCAAGACCTCATTTTTATTCAGATTTTCGTCATCACCATTCACCAAAACATCAAAAACAGGGGAACCCTCAAAAGGGTCAACGGAATTGGGTCCGCCAATTCCACCTCCAGCAGGCTCCTCACCCACGGGCTCCTCTTGAGCATTCAAAAAGACATCATCGTCATCAGAAACAACAGCAACACTGTTGCTATTGACACCACCAATTTTCAAGTCTGTATTCCAACAATCAACTTTAGGGAAAAAGACCCGATAAATTTTACTAATCAAATTATCAGATAAAAAAATAATGAGAATTAGGGTATCATAGACGAACCTGAAACGTCGGATGATGAAAGCAAAGATGCTTCCTTTGAGTCCATTGTCTGCCTAGGTACCTTCGCCTCGAAGGCTCCGAACCTAAACTAGAAGAAAGATATTGGGGCTTCGTGGATTGAGGTGTGGAACTATCGCTGTACTAAGATTGGGAGAAGAACTTTAGGTGAATTTAAGGGATATAAGGATGGATTTGGGAAGGACGGAAGAGAGAGCACAGGATGGGAGACGATAAGGTTTAGGAGGTTTTGATGTGGCACAAACGGTGCCGTTTTCTTGTTTTTTTTTCCCATTTCCCTTTTGAGAAAAACACTAAAATAAAATAACAGTAAAAGATATGGAAAAAAAATAAGATCATTATTTTTTTATTTTTAAATTATGATTCATAAATGTAAATAATGCTAACATATAATACAAAGCAAATGTGAAATGCCAATAGACCGTATTACATTGTAACAATGAAATAGTCATATTTTAAGATGAAAAAATATTACTCTTATTTCGAAGATAAAACTTATATTTTCCTTCTATTTTGGGTGATTTCTTTTCCCCTTTTACACTTCCACATCAACCCTATAGTGTTATTTAGATTGAGCATGGTACAATATTTTGCCCATACCAATACCTTACAGAATATCTAGGTTTGGTATAAAATATTACATTGTATTGATCAGGGCCGGCCCAATAGGAGGACAAAGTATCCGTTCGGGCTGGGCCCAATAAATTAAGGAGCACAAATTTTTTTAAGTATTATATATATGTATATAAGAAGCCCATCTCATTAAGACTCAGACCCAGTCCACTCCCTCACCAGATATCTTACTCTACCTCCTTAGCCCAATGCCCCAATCCACCCTTCACTGGTATGTAGACAAAAAAAGGACGCGGAAGATAACCGAAGAAAGTACGCTGAAAAAAAGATGCCGAAGAAAGGACGCCGGCATGCCACCATCACGCCGCCGGACGCCGACCTCCACCCTCCAGGTATTCCATATTCAATTATTCATAGTTTTTCAATTTTGTAATTTTTTTTCTTAAATCTTAATTTTCTTTCATTGTTTCATTTTTTAGGTTTAAAATTTATGATTAATTATTAGTTTTAAATTTGAAATCTTCTCTAATTTCATTCTTTGAAATAGAATGAATTAATGGTTCTATGTGTTATTTATTTGATTTGGATGAATTGATTTGGATGAATTGATTTGTTTTTTTATTTATAATATATTTTTATATTAAAAAACTGAAAACCGAACAAAATTAAAAACTGATAAGTTGACGAATTGATATGAGTTTATGATTTATAAAAAAAAATTAAAACTGAAAAAGAAAAAAATAATTAAAAAACGAAAAATTGACGAATTGATATGAATTTATGATATATTTATTTATTTGCTTGCTTTTACTAAGTAGTAGAGTTTAAGAATTTGGATTTAATTTCAGAAATAATTCAATAGCTATGGCTCCTAAACAATTATCCGGTAGTCAAAAAAGAAAAAAGAGAAAACGAGATGAAGAAATGAGAAATTCTCAAGTCGGAGCTCTATATAAGTTTCTGAAACCTCTTGTTGAAGACGAAGAAGTAGAAGTAAAAGAGATGGAAGAACAAGAGCATCTACAAATATGTTAATTTGTTAGATCATTAGGAATACTATTTTTAGGGCCTTTTTTACGTTTCGGCCCGGGCATATGAATTCTCAGGACCGGCCTTGGTAATGATAACGATCTTAAAATATCATTTTAGGATAATTCGGTATCGAGTTTGTTACAAATCAGGATAAGTACTGTAAATTATATCGACTGAAGTATCATTTTAACCGAGCAAGAAGGATAAACTAATCTAACAAATTACACCAAAATACAAACACATAGATTTTTATGTAGAAACTCAATTGGGAGAAAATCATGGGTATTTTTTGTCGGTGCCTTATAAATAGGAAGATTTTATTAATATCGAGAGTGTACGTGATACATGATTTGAGTTTAGAAGCCATTAATGGAACCTTTCAAGCTTCTTGGGGAAGAAGAAAATACATATGGTGTACAATCTACAGAGAGAGTATATTATGCAGGAGGTGTGTGTAACACCCTAATCCGTATAACCTATAATTACACGTATTAATTTGAAAAATGAGCTAAATAAAATTTCACTTGACATTTGAAAATGACAAGCACTTAATCAATATCAAATTTCAGACTCTGGACCGTGACTCATTTAAAAATATTTCCGTAGTAAAGCGGAAGTACAATAATAATCAAATCATGACTCAAATAAAATACTCTCTCCGTCCTAAAACCATCTTCCCGTTTGTGTTTACGAGGTTTGACCGACTTTATTTTCAATTTAATTTATTTGATTGTAGGAGTAAAATTAAAAAAATAAAATTTACATATTTAAAAACTACATCAAAAGTTCTACAAAATGAGAGGTGACAAGGCTATATTATTTTATAAAATAAGCAACGAAAATAGATAAGGAAAGTGATTTAAGTTTGACCATGTGAATAGTAACTGAGAAGATAGTTTTAGGACAGAGGGAGTATTGATGATCAAACTTTTGCCTACAATTCATACAATTCCTCTGACTCAATGTCCTCCATGAGTAGTTCCGTCATCATTCTCTTGATACTTACGTGTAGCCAACAAAAAATACAAACTACACGCTCAGTGAAATCGCTGAGTGGTATCACGCTAGAATTATAGAATAATTCACCGACATATACATGTACACTAGTATCAACTCCGTGCTGAAATCTAAAAGTAAAATATCATTTATTTTAAACTTTTAGTAATGATATATAATGTGTTTGATAAATAATTTTAACTATTTTAATGTTTTATACAAATGTAATGGTTATCAAATAAAAAATAATGAAAATCGTTTTAATTAATAAAAATTAAAACAAAAATGTCAAATAAATCAATTAAGTAATGACACATCATTAGAGAATGCATGTTTGTTATGTGCCACATGTAATTCTTCAATTAAACTTTCAGTGTGTGTTTAGTTTGCTAAAAATATGTAATTAAATAAATAATGTAATAAGATAAAAGATTAAAAAATGTTATGAACTTAATAAAGATGCATGTGTGATAAAATTTGTACTCCGTATATATTAGTTTCTTTTGAGATAATGTATAATTTTAAAAATTATAAGAAACATTGGTTTTTTAATTAATAAATTTTATATACATTTTTTAATATTATAAAATAGTTGTGCATATTTAAAAAATATCTTAAAACAACAAAAAATATTTCTAAAATAGTTAGAAAGTGAAAATTTTACAAAAAAAAACAAACATAATGGTTTTTTTATTGTTGGAGAGTGAATGGTTTATAAAATATACTCCCTCTGTCCGGTATTAAAGTTTACGTTTTGACTTATTGTCATTTTTAGTGGGAGTTGACTAAGCACTTAGATTACCAAAAATACCCCTTTCTCCCCTTTTGCCTTTCCACCTGAACACGGAAAACAGCCCAGCTCAAAATCTGAAAACAGCTCAAAATTGGCTTTTACCCTTTCCTCCAAACCTGACGGCTCAAAATCTGAATCTATTTGGTTACCGGAATCACCAGATCACCGCTGCGACCCGGGCCAGCGGTTTCCGGCGGGTTTTCCTCAATTCCGGCCACCTCCGCCACCTCTGACGTCGCGCAACCCCACCAGGAACCATCAATTGCAAAGTTGAAGCCAACTTGAAGAAACCCCCAATTTCGGATCCCAGGGTTTTCCCGATCCTAAAATCTTCAATTAGTGAAGTTCAAGACAAAATTGAAAAAAAAGGACTGGATATTCGTGATCCTCGGGAAAAAACGGTTCATTTGGCGTTGGTCCCGTCCGTTTCTGCTCAGGAGAAAGAAAAGAAGAAGAAAAGCAAGAAGAAGAAGAAGAAGAAGAAGAAGAAGAAGAAGAAGAGGAGGGAGGGGGAGAGTTCACAGATCGGGAGGATGGGAGAAAGAAAAAGAAAAAAAAGGAACTAAGGAAGAAGAGGAGGAAGGGGGAGAGGGAGAGAGAAGATTGAAATGGTAGAGAAGGGTATTTTTGGAAGAGTGTGGGTTAAAATTAGAAATGTAAATTTTATTTTTGGACGGAGAAAAAGGAGAAACGTAAACTTTATTTCCGGACGGAGGGAGTAATAAAAATAATAATTTAATACAAAATTAAATATGCATGTGTGTAGTGACATGTGTCTTGTGGTTTGCATGTGGCATGACACATGCCAGTAGTATACACATGTGGCATGCCACGTGTCATCACCACAACTATCTAACTCCCTTTTACATATATTCTAATATTCTAATTTTATAGAATGCACATGTGGCATGCCATGGGGTCGAACAAAATTTATGTCGATTTCTAATTTTTTTCAATGTAATATATTTTTCAGAATCAAATAAAATATATTTCTAACATGATTTTTAATCAATGAACAACGACAAAGTAGAATAAATATTATTTGAGGAACTGGAAGTGTACTCGAAAAAATCTTTTTTAATTCCAATTTTTTTGAAAGACTTTAGGGTACACAACATCTTTTGTATGGTTGTACGGATTTTCTTTATCATCTAGAACAAATATTTTTAATTATGTCTTTGCCTTCACTCGTGAAAAAGTAACATAAAGCTAACCATGAATAAATACTGAATTGGTTAAAAATAATACAACAAAGACAATGTTTGACCTAAACTTTTGTTAATAGTCATAACAAAATATAATAATATTAAGAATTGTCTTCTCTAGAATTTCAAGGGTAGTCCTGAATCAAATGATACCAAATTCATTCAGGGTATATAAATCTTTTTCCCAATTGATTTCCCAAAACGTCAATTGCAGTGATAATGTTCTTTCTCAACTTCTGAACGATTAATCTTCTACCATTACACAATCCAGATATTCGGTCAATGTTCTTTAATGACATAATTGGTACCCTATTTTTAAAAATTATTTTGTGGTCTAGGGTCCCGGAACATTTGATTTAATTAAAAAAACTAAAGTGTTATCCAATTGTTAACTTTGCATGAAGAATAAAAAATTAAGTACTCTTTTTCACCTCCTAGAATAAGGGATAAGACAAATTCATTTACCATTCAACAAACTCGAGCATGAGTAAGAATACTCCAGTATCCTTAAAAAAATAATTTTTCATGTTCTCTAGTAGGTTCGGATAAGTGAATTCCATTGTTCTCTTGATGGGATAACTTATTCAAGAATCAAGAATTCAGG